CACAAATGTTTTTGTAAGATATTTACATCTTTAAAGGACATTCGGTAGACTGATTCCCCACTGTTAGTTCAACCCCAAAACTTTTTTGTATTCAAAATTAATTATGACAATGTATATTTATATTGAAACAAACTATGTTGAAGGGAATTATATTATATAACAAAGGGCAAGGTCACCAGAGTTCAACTATGTTCATTCCTATTTGGCACACATATCATACATATCAGTGTGTTTCATAATCAGATCAAAGATGGCCGAATAACGGCTGTTTTTATTTTTGGCCATATTAATTCTACATGGAACACGTGTTTTGATGTAAATAAACAATCTGTTGTGTACACCACTTGGAACTCAAGTTTCAAGGACACGCTCGCGACAACCCCTCCGCTTTAATATGACGAGTATACAGAGAACTTTCAAAAATTTAACAGGGACTGTGATAGATTTAATGATTTCATTCAATGTTTTCCAGTCCAGTATCATCACAGCTTATTGGTCAGCTGATAGATTTAATGATTTCATTCAGTGTTTTCCAGTCTAGTATTATCACAGCTTATTGGTCAGCTGATAGATTTGATGATTTCATTCAATGTTTTCCAGTCCAGTGTCATCACAGCTTATTGGTCAGCTGATAGATTTAATGATTTCATTCAATGTTTTCCAGTCCAGTATCATCACAGCTTATTGGTCAGCTGATAGATTTAATGATTTCATTCATTGTTTTCCAGTCCAGTATCATCACAGCTTATTGGTCAGCTGATAGATTTGTTGATTTCATTCAATGTTTTCCAGTCCAGTGTCATCACAGCTTATTGGTCAGCTGATAGATTTAATGATTTCATTCAATGTTTTCCAGTCCAGTATCATCACAACTTATTGGTCAGCTGATAGATTTAATGATTTCATTCAATGTTTTCCAGTCCAGTATCATCACAACTTATTGGTCAGCTGATAGATTTATTGATTTCATTCAGTGTTTTCCAGTCCAGTATCATCACAGCATATTGGTCAGCTGATAGATTTAATGATTTCATTCAATGTTTTCCAGTCCAGTATCATCATAGCTTATTGGTCAGCTGATAGATTTATTGATTTCATTCAATGTTTTTCAGTCCAGTATCATCACAGCTTATTGGTCAGCTGATAGATTTAATGATTTCATTCAATGTTTTCCAGTCCAGTATCATCGCATCTTATTGGTCAGCTAATAGATTTAATGACTGATGGTGTTGTATCTGTAAACACAGCAAAGAAAATAATGCCAATCCTGTTTACAGATGAAACAAGATCACTTACACAGGTGAGTTCTTTTGAAAAGGTTGGTTTCCATAGTGTTGGTATTGATAATAATGGCACATCGAATTATGATTTTTATTAAAAATAATATGTTTGACAACCAGTCGTGGATTTCAAAACAATGTTGTTTACAGTGACCCAACTAAAATGGTTACCATAGCAACGAAGGTTGCTATAACAGTGGCCCAGAATTGATGGTTTCCATTTTCCACCAATGACTTGCTACAACAGTTAAAGAGTGGTGGCTATAGATATCTTTACATAAGGTTAATCAGGTTAATTACAAGGGTCTTAACATCATATTTTTAGTCCCCGTTCGGATGCAGTTTGAGAACAGGAATTATAACCTGTGTGTGTCTGTGCGTGCATGCATCCAGACCTGTATCTTAGACATGCCTGGACCAATTACATTTTTACTTCACACAAACATCATACATAATTTTATACATATGCACATCAATTTGTTTCACAATCTAATTTAAGATGGCCAAATGGTGGCCATTTTTGTGCTAAAAGTCATCAAAATCAAGCATTTATGGATGGATTTCATACAAACTTGGCCGACCGGTGGCCATTTTATCTTAATTAATGCAGTTCCAGAGCAGTATTTCTCAATATGGACAAGTACTTGATCAGATGCAAGATGTTAATCATTTTAATGTTAAAAAATTATCGTAATCAAGCATCAACTTCTAGATCCATACATGTTCCAACTATATTACTATAAAAAAAACTGTATACCATAAATTTGATAACTAATGAGGACTGTGCCATGCATGGCTTGTTACTTTTATTACTTTCTCCTGACAGATTATTGAAAGTAAAAACTGGGCACAAATAAGAGATGAAAAACACCTACAAACACTGTGTGATAGTGTTATAGCTAACAATATGACAGTGGTAAGTATTGTCATTACAGTAATTGCATGTACCATCCAAGTATCAACCATGTCTGATCAAATGCACATACCTGTGTACCTTAACCAAAGTCACATACATGAGTGAATAATTCTCAGCCAGTACTATAGCTTAGATTCCATCGAGGCCAGAGGTAACCACTAGTTGTTGAACCCAAGGTAGAATTGAACTCAGGTCTACTCATCATTGGTACAACAATCACTATACTACAGGTGGCTTCATTACTTTAAGTGTGTTGTCTATAAAGTGTTAAATTCACTACATTCAATTACCCACCATAGACTCCGGTCAGTCAAAATGATTATTTTGAACTGTAGGCATTAATTAGCGATTTTGCCGGTGACGGAGAAATAGAATCTAGGTCAGGGGAAGCCCCATGACCTCAAGATTCTCTTTCCCTTACGTCACGAACCGCGTGACCGAAGCCATATGGCAGCACCATTAACGGCTGCACAATCACTCTTTTTTCATCTCCGCCTCGTCGGGAATGATTCTGAGCGGCTCTGCCTGGCTCTTTTGCTTTTTCCTGTTTCCTGTTTCCTTTTTCCTGTTTTCCTTTTTCCGGTTTCTAGCTTGGGTTGTTGCCGCTGGGCGGCATTCGACATTCTACCTGGTAGGATAAGTTTTTCTTGTCTTCTTTACCCTTGTGTCGTTTTCCCCTTTGTGTGTAATATTTTTTCACAACAAAGAAATTAAAACCCAGCGCCACTACGCAACCACTTGTTTACCAGCATAGAACCTGCATCCGATATGCCTTTTCGCCGTGGCTGCGGTCTTTGCCTTGAAGGTGTGCGTTTTTTACTGGAGTTCTGAGGCCTGAGATTTTCTTTCAGAGCCATCAAAATCACTGAGACTGACCACGTCGCTCGTTTTTTCACAACAAGGTCGCGCGTCCAGTAAACAAATCAGTTAAAGTGAGTTGTGTGTCTGGCATGAGTGGAAAGTCCTCACGCTCGGCTACCGGTGCTTCGTGTACCGGGACGTCGAGTAGGAGGCCCGATGGTGGAGGTATCAATATTTTTTCTCTGCCTCCCCCCCGCTGATTGGAGGGTGTCCTCACAGTCTGTTTTTTCAGGCGGTGGTTTACCCAATTTTACTGGCTGCAGCGAGGCTGTGCCCCTGGAAGCTTTCCTCCTATGGGACCCGTTGCGGGGCCCTTTGTGGACCCTTCCTCGCACGGCGCCGGATTTGCCTCTGAGTTGAGGGCTTTGGTCGAAGGACTGTAGGGGCAATTGCGTCCCTGGCAGGCCGGGTAGATCAGACGCAGTCGGAGCAAGCTGTCTCCACTGCGGCCCCTCGGTGGGCAAGCAGGAAGAAACACAAAAGCATGTTTGCATTCAAACACGTCTCTTCCAGGGAACCCCCGTTCCCAGCCGCAGCTCTCCCACTAATTTGAGTGAGGCCAAGGCTCAGGCTAATTGCACCGGGCCTCCTCTGGAACCTTGGGCACTGAATGCCAACGGGGTGCTGGCAGCCAAGCCTCCGATCTCGGGGCAGGGCTTACAGGGCAGGGCACACTACTTTCAGCCAGCCAGGGTTCATCGCGCGGTAACGGTACAACAGTAACGAATTTATCCTTGTGTCCAGTCTCCGCTGTGGGTTTTGACTCCCTTCTTACCGACCCACGGGTGTCCCCAGAGGGAACCGACCCTGTCATGAGACGCACAGTGGAACACGCTCCCTCTCGCATATCTAAAGTGAAAGGAGACACAGTTCGCTCGCGTCGGATACAGCTGGTATTCTGGGCAGTCCCTCGGAGTCTTCCATCCGTAATGACTCGGTGAGCCATGCTTTTGGGGTGATGCGGAGTATCATCGATCCTAGTTATACGATGTAAATACCCCCACCCTTGATCCTAAGGCGACCACCTAAGGTTGCTTCAACGCTTATGGGATCACGGGCGTCGGGATCCAAAGCAACCCCGTTGGCACGTCTCTCCCTGTCCGTCCGAGTGCGGAGTGGGATGCATGACACGCAAACGGTGTTGATGGGTGGACGTTGGTCAGCTGCGGAGGACGAAACGCTTAAGGCCCCCGGGTGGGGAAAACCTTAGGCAACACTTCCCGCTGGACCAAACGCTACCCGGTCGGTCCAGGGGTGAGGAACAGTCTGGCAGACGGCCTTTCAGGGCGGCTCCGTCTCCAGAACACTGAGTGGCTGATACAAGCCTCCAGGCTGTTTCGGCTGTGGGACGATCCAAGGTTAGACCAGTTTGCCGCACCCAGGAATGCCAAGCTCCGGACGTACGTAACACTCCTGCCGACTCCAGGAGCCGGGCCCAGGGTCGCTTTGCTTAACCCCGTAGACCCACTTAGTTGTGTACGCCTTTCCTCCCTTCCCGCTAGTTCACCGGGCACCGGAAAAAACTTCGACAGGTGCACACCTGCATATTATCATTGGTCGCACCCAATTGGCCAAACAAGGCCTAGTTTCCACTTCTGTCGGAAATGCTAATCGAAACACCAGCAGTGCTTCCGGACTTACCAGACCTGCCGCCCCAACTAGACGGCGCACTACCAACAAGCCCAGCGGGTATCACTTACATGCATAGAGGCTCTCATTAGACACATACGAAAACTTTATCTGAGCGGGCTGCCAACGTCCTGGCCAGGGCGAACAGGGATCCCACCAATGCAGCCTACATTCCTAGGCTGCAAGCATACACTTATTGGTGTAGCGGAAGGGGGATTGATCCATACCATCCCTCTACTGGCCAGGTAGCAGGCTCCTTTGTCCACCTGTTTGACGAAGTGGGTTTGTCCTACGCAGCTATCGTTGGCTACAGGTCGGCCTTGTCCCCCACCATTGAGACGTACGGGAACAAGACTAGCCGATTGTCCTATTAATATTATTAGAAGACTATTTACTGCTTTCCAGACGCCGAGACACATACAAGGGAACCGCCCAACTGAGACTTGTTGGCTGTGTTGTCCGCTCTAAGCAGACTGCCCTTTGAGCCTCTCTGATCAGCACCACTCAAATCTTTGACGTCTTCCTACTGGCCTTCACCTCAAGTAGGCATCGGCCAGAGCTGGGGACATTGTCCTTCTCGGATGATGTTGTGCTAAAGACACAAATTGTGTTTCTCGCCTAGAACCAAATCCCAGGACACAATCCTCACCCGATTGCCATCCCCCGGCTGTCAAATTTTGTCTGTCCGGAGGGTCAGGAGGAATATCTTCTCTGCCTGGTTTGAGCACGGAGTTGCTACCAAACCGTACTAAGGATTCAGGATGGGGTGCCAGGCACATGTCTTTGTGTTACGGCCCAGGCAGGCAGGATAGGCCGGCCTCCCCAATTTCCATAACCAGGTGGTTTACTGTGACTGTATTAGAGGTCTATAATATGTTAACTTCCTTGACACAGGGCTTGCAGAGACACCAAGTACGTGTTCATGAGGTTTGTGCGATTGCCAACTCACTAGTGCTAGCGTCAGGTGCCTCCCCTCGAGCATACACGGAGGGCAGGCTTCTGGAGAACGAAGAACGTCTTTATCAACTACCACCTAACAGACACCAAATCCATTGAGGAAGGTCTCTTTAGGTTGGGTCCCGTTTTAGCCGGATCAGTCTTGTTTTTCTGACCCAGCCCAAACGACCACAAGGGTCCCTGCACATAGGCAATAAGTCAGTCTCGGCATTTTATGCGATCAGATTTCTCTACCATCAGCACTCCCTGGAAGTTCCCAGGGCCCGCTTTTCAGCCTATGCCCTCATGCAGAACTGTTTTGGTCTTTACTTCGACAGCTTACTACCCCCAGAATTGGGTTGGGGTCTAGCTTTCTCAGGCACACTGAACCTTGTCACCAGAGCAGCATTTTGGCTTCTTGCTCCGGGGACAGCACAGGCAAGGTAAGACACCACCCTTTTTGGGGTCTTAACTAAGGTGTTGAATTTATTGTAGTTTGTTTCATCCCGGACTGGGAAAAGACTTTCATCATTTTCTGTTTGCTTGGAAAACCGGCCACCTATCGGCGTCTGACTCTGCCTACAGTTCAAAATAGTCATTTTGACTGACCTGAGTCTATGGTGGGTAATTGAACGTAGTGAATTTAGGTAGAGGGTTCTCCGAACCCACCTATTCACATAGTTCATACCCACCATAGACTCTGGGTCCCCCCCAACCACCCCACTCTTTCCATAGCGTTGGTCTAAGTTCTCGAGGCGGAGAGAAAGGAATCAGAGTGATTGTACAGACGTTAATGGTGCTGTCATATGGCCTCTGTCACGTGGTTCGTGACGTAGAGGAAAGAAAATCTTGGGGTCATGGGGCTTCCCCTGACCTAGATTCTATCTTTCCGTCACCGGCAGAATCGCTGATTAATGCCTACAGTTCAAAATAGTCATTTTGAGTGACCGGAGTCTATGGTGGGTATGAACTATGTGAATAGGCGGGTTCGGAGAACCCTCTGCCTAAATCTGTGGAACATACATACAGGTCTCCAATAAAAAGTACATTATATTAAATTCATTTAAATTACATAACATTAATTTCAATTAAAATTGAAGTTTAATTCAACTTAATTATATAGAAATGTAATTAATACACTTTAAGTAAACTACTATATATCCAGCTGTAATACAACTTCAGTTAATTTTAACATGTCTTGGCATTAGGATTAGGGTAAAGGAATAAGTAGGTACACTGTATATCGACCAATGCCAAGACACAGATTTTTTACATTGTCTATTAAAATAATTTCCATTTTTCAGTGATGCAATCCCATTTTCGGTTGAAGGTTAATTCTTGGCTTCCCGACTTTTGATCTGACATCCAGAACTAATTGTGCATTGTATTTTACAGGTAAAAGCTTATATTGATGGCAATAATAAAGTATTCAACAGATTAATGGGATTAATACAGCATCAAACTCAAGGAAGAGCCGACCCCGGCCTTGTGAGAAAAATACTACAGACAAAACTCGAAGAGATGAAACTCAAATGATACAAAGTTTCATTATAAGATTTTTAATAACGTTTCATAGATTTACTCAGAAATAACCTTATTGAGGTTAAATACAGGTCATTCATACTGGGAGCTAGGCAATATTTCATATTGTGGAAGTGCAACGTACCAAGTACACTCGTGGTGAGATGAAGGGTGGCATAAGAACCAGACAGATAATAATGAGAATGAACTGAGATTTGCATATTTTATGTATGCTTCTATAATTGAGATGTTTCTATAAAGCAAATATACCTCAAATTCGAATACCCAGAATTTCCTCATTTTGAAATACATTGTACTGTAAAATCTGTATTAGAAGCCGCGGCTTCTATTAAAATGATACAATGCAACAGAGGGGATGCGGCTTCTATTAGAGCATCTACACATATGAGAAATGATGAATTTTTGGTTCTCAATTACTGTAGAATACTTTATTTTCACTTGGAATTTATTTTCGCTATTTTCGCTGAAGGGATGATTCCGTGAAAATAAAATCTAGCGAATATACTTTTTTTCCTATATTTCACATTAAACTCATCAAAAATCAGTGAAAATAAATTCCAAGCAAAATGCCCAAAAAGCCCTTTCAGCGAAAATTAATTCCAGCGAAAATAAAGTATTCCACAGTATTCAAATAGAATGGATGCGACTTCTATTAGGGATGCGGCTTCTAATACAGATTTTACAGTACTCTTGGACAATACAAGGAAATTGACTATAAAAAAGTTGGGAAAATGATGGTTGTATTTTAGTGGATAGTAACCATTTTGTCAATATTATAACATTATTGGCTGGTGACATAGGCTGAATTGTTTCAAAAATCTATGTTTTAAAAAATGTAAAAAATGCAATTACCCCTTAACATTGTGTTCTATGGGATTGTTCTAAAAATTTTGATTTTTGAATAATATTAAAACAAGTTTCCCAAAATATGTGACTGCAACACACAAAAGAATGCTATTTCATGGTGCTATGCGACAATACAAATGTAGCTCCATGAGTTTACATAATAAACCATTAAACATTGCAATTTTATTATCTAATATCAGCTTGTATGTTACTGATCGGATTTATAAACTAGAAAAGAATTTTATTTTTTAATCTGTAAACTTTTCATGTTTATTGGTTACCGGTAATAGGTGATTTTTTGTTTACTGTGAGATCTCATGTATGGCGTGAAAAGCATGGACTAAGCGTTTTCCACAAAAATCTATTTGATTTTGAACTTTAATTTTTTTTTATAACTCTTAAAATTATGCTGATCTTTGAGAGGGGAATATTGCGTTGAGAATCCTTCATCAAAATCGACCATCATCAAATGTGTATGGCACATTATTAAGAAATGTTTGTTGAATCCCATGCGATGTTTGTTGTCACGACAACGCTATGACCTTTGTTTTTCCTCTTTATATGTTAAATTTCTTTCAACAAAGGATATTGCAGTGAATGAAAAATGGTCCATTTTGCCTTTCTGCGTGATTTGTTTTTGTTTCTATAATTTGGTAGTAAAGATCTTACCAAATATGTCCGTATTTTACTTTTATTTTGATGTTATTAAAAATGTTTATTATTTCAACAATAATTACATCCCACTCATACTATTGAGTGACATAACATTACCTGCCGTGGTTAGCTTCTAAAGCCTGATTATTGGTTATGAGCTTGAGCCGAAAGAACAACTAATGTTTTATCAAGTACTCATGAGCCACCTGGTGCCCTACCTGTCAGTAGAGAGCACTGGCTTCCAGTACTACAGCTATAACAAATGTACAGCCAGATAGAGATAGGTAAACCTTATTGTGTTGGAATTGACAAACAACATGTAATTGCATTTCTTAGCCCCTGCGATTTCAAAGTTGAAAATGAATGGTCAGATCCAGATGGCTGCCATTTTGCTCAGATAATAAAATGAATAAATGTGCTATATTACCGGTATGTGTGACAAAAAATGACCCTAATCAGTCGGGGCATGTCGGTGATATAGCTCAGATCGAGGGATTTTCATGAATGTTTATAGCACATTAGGCCATCTCATCTGATATGTATCCTAAAATGGAATTTTAATGTTATCATTCTAGGAATATCTGGTGGAGACTGACACTTGCTTGGAGGTCAAATAATAATTCCTAGTTTTTGAACTTCTTTCAGCTTGAAGCACCACAGTCTTTTATAAATATCTTTTTATTCTGAACTTTACAGAATAATTCAAATCTGTAACAGTCACAAATCATAAGAGTATACATTCTATTCATATTGGGACGGGAGACGTTTTAGTTGGATCCTTCACTGTAACACCAAAATGATTATCCAACAGATTGTGTTTTAAATAAATTTGGGAAGAATCTTATTCCTTCTACTGATTCATCACGACAAGCTCTTCCCTTCTCTTCTGCAGCCAAAAGTCTGAAAAAAAGTAGAAAAACAATTAATTTAGAAGAAATTGGAAGTCAAGAGAAGATCAAGTCCCCAATATTCCTAACAGGAAGCACTACAAAATGTCTGTATTTTGTTGAGTGAGTGGTTCCATCAAAGAAATGAACATGTCATTGTCATAGTCCTTGATCAGTTTTAGTGACTAAGAACTATAATCAAAGCGAGGGAGTCGTCACCTGCGTATGCGTCAGATGTCCATAGCTTGTCATTGTTTAAAACAAGCATTTACCCATGTGCCTTCGCGTTTTTAATATGCATTGTTACCGTCCCTTGAGAGTCTATTCTCGCACAGGTGACAATCCCTTCGCTTTAAATGTTGGGAGAGTAAATACAACTGTCAAGTATGTCAGAGAAATGGTAATAAGTTTGAATAAAATCAGCCAAGACGTATACAAGACCATTATTTCTTAATAAAATCAACATGGCCGTCAGACAAACCACAAAATAAACTGATGTGTATAAAGTAGTCAAAGTTTAAACAAGAAAATCATCAGAGATAGCAGATCTCTAGGCATCTATTTTACAAGCACTGGTTGAAAGCCTGTATTTCCAATAGTATTTATGCATTTTTAATGGAGTCACATGACCATATATGGTCATTAAATATGTTGATCTGATTTAATATGCAATGTTTTCAATGAAGCACTGGTTGAACATCTATAACTCCAATAGCGTTAAATTTATGCATTTTTAATAAGGTCATCCAAATTCAATAATAACTTAAGCAGAATTACAACCCATTATGTCATGGTTTTGTACCACATTTAAAGGGTGGTGGTTGTTGCGCTGCGTCATGTGCAATATAGGACTCATAGCGACGTATACAAAGCTTGTAAAATACATTGTTTTATTTACATGAAATTAGAACACGCACTGGGCGACGACCCCCCCACCCTTTAACCCTTATCTTGTCTTCCAAAACCAAAACCCGAACTATTAAAATACTGACATGACAATATTATCTGATACATTACCTTCCTTTTGCTAATAAAACTGATATGCCAATAATATGTGATAATTCATCAGCTGAAAGACATCCCTTACTTGATAACTAAAAAAACAAAAACAGAAACATTGATTTCAAAGTTAGTTGTGACGTTTTTGGAACTACTTTATTGTATGCGTCAGAATACATACTTCTGTAATGGTGTTATATGTCACCTGATCACCTGAGTGGATTGATATTTAGAGAGTGGTGCCGTTGGGGTAACTGAAAATGGCGGAATAAACAAGTTAAATTTGAAAGCTTTCTGGTTTCTTTGATGTTCTGTGTGTTCCTGAGTCAACACATCTCAGTTGTGCTATTCTAGTGGCATGGTATTGGGGACTATGATAAAAACAAGCAACCTCTGGGCTGAGATAGCTTCGCTGTTAGCAATGCACATTTCAATTAAAAAACTGAAGATATCATTAGAAAATGAACAAATATGAGAGAGGTCTATTTGTAGTACCGACAAGAATTCAAAAATATCACTTTTTTCCAAAAATGACAAATATTCATCAAAATCAGAGAATTGAAGATATCATCACGAAATGAACAAATCTAAGTGAGGTCTACCCAAGGTACATATACACTAAGTATCAAAGCAATAAAAATTGTAGTTTTCAAGAAGAAAGTTGACATGGACGACGGACAATCACTTATATGATAAGCTGCACTCGACAAAGTTGAAAGCGAAGCCAATAAAACTGCTGTGTCTCTAACATGGTACGCAGACTATGTTCTATGGATGACTGTTACGTGATTGGCTGATAATTATAGCATGATATATTAATTAGAAAAATCTAAGCAGTAAATTCAGACTAATTTAAAGGCGCCTACTGCATAGTTTGGTTATCAGCCTTAAGTGCTTCCAAAATAACATGGATCTAAAAAGGAAATGTCCATTAATAATTGATTATGTAACAGCGACCAGACACTACTCACCAGCTCTACAGTCTGGTTTATTGCTTGTTCTTCTGCATGGGACACCAGTTCTAAAACTTTGACTCCACTTGCAAATATTCTGAGCCTATAAGGAAAAGGGAACAGCAATACTTTAAACTATGAAAGCTAGAATTCAGTGATGAGTGACTCTTCATGTCTTGAGAATGAACTAAAGGAGTGGTTTTATTAGGGGAGGGAGGGAGGTATGTTTGTGATGGTCAAATGACAATGTTGCAATTATTTTAGTAATGGGAATGTTGTTTTAATGTTGCCATACGAGTGCATAGACAGAATTGGTGGTGTCATGTGACCTAATTAATATGCATAAATGTGATTATTGGCAAACTATCATATATGTATTTAGAGATATGCAACCAGATGTATTAAGGGTTGGGTTGAGTTGGGTATTATATCCATAGCAACCACCAAGTAAAATGTTTTTGATGAACATAAAAATAGTTGACACTGGATTGAGGATAACATAGTACATAGCAACCATGATCTCACCTGTACACAACCATAACAAAATCCAATACATAAGTTCCACAAGTTCATTACCAATAGAGCTCATACTCAGAATATACATTCATTTTGTAAACGACTTTGTAGTAGTGGGTCATCACGGCAGTATAGAAGACATGTATTGAGTATACCTATCAACCATGATCCCACAAATTTATATGTTCTATAACAATAGCTTATACATGGCGAAATTTCCATTCATTTTGTTGACAACATTATGAATATCCTTAGTACCACCATCACACCAATCAGTTCAACAGCATATATTTCTATTTATTGCAACTTATTCAGAAACTTACATGTACACTCTAATCAAATTTGCATTGTTCACTTAGCAAGCCGATAATTTGTTGTCAATGTTGCCATATACCACACAATACATGATGAGCATCTTACCTTAATGGCAATCCCAGAATTTCAAATTGTTTACAGGCTTCGACAAGGTCATCCGGTGACAATAACTAAGAGACAACGTATGATATATAGAAAATATATTATGTATCAACTCCAGGTAAAAAACAAATAGTATGCATAAAGCATGCACACTTCTATTACCACCTCTGTCATCAAAACTATGGCAGACCTCTCGGTTTGGAGTCTAGAAGTTCACAGGGATCAGCAAGGGCTATTTTCGTAAGCTGTAATCAATTGTTTTTATTTTCGTAATAATGTAATTTCCTCACTTGCAATGTTTACTTATATACCCACACTTTAAATACCTCAAAAGTAAATAAATTGTATCATTATAAAAACGTAATACATGTGACACTATTAAAGTGAGGAAGCTCATTATAGATGCATTACATCATGCATTTTGTCTATGATGTATAACATTCTTACCTCCATACCCCTTGCTCTATTAACTCTACAGTACACATCTGTTAATGCCATTATACCACCATTATCCTGTAAATAACAGTAAAAATCAAGTGGGAATATATTCAAAATTTCGCTCCCCAGGAACACACTGTATCTGAGTTTTATCCAAGTTTTACAACCCATCCCGACCAGTCACAATCCCGGTCATTGAAGCCAATATGATCTGAGCCATGGACAGTACCATTAATTTTGAACCCAACCTGTCCTGCCAACACTCTGGTCTCACTGCCTTCATTTCCAACCTATCTTAATTTACATGATCAACACTTAGACACCTGGTGCTTTTGTACACCAACCCATATCACTACAATGTCAAAATCCTGGTCCTATGAGCATTGTTCTTCAACAACCCAGTGACACTGACATGACACTACCCTGAACCCAAGAGCCCTAATGTTGTTCAAACTAACCCAAACAAAACACACCGAGTTCCTTTGTTGATACTGGTAACCTGTTACAATCATGCACCAAAAATACAGTATAGCCTGAAGTGTACCTTCCAAGTATTTGCTGTAGTTACTTATTCAGGCAAATTTTACAAACTGCAAATTACATTGATTTTCAAAGCAAGCTAAGCTAACATTAAATCTAAATGTTAACTAGATGTTAACACTCCTACTGAATTGTATCTTGTGTGAAATATTTAACTATGAAATAAAGTTTACTGATTCTAGACTCCACTTATTTGTTTGGACACCTGTGTTGCCATTGGAAACAATCACCTAACAATTCAGGTTATAATGTGCTATACATGGTCAGTGTCAGTGTACTACTGTAAAGTAATTTATTTGCACTTGGAATTTATCTTAAGGATGAATCAGTGAAAATAAAATTCAGTGAAAATACCTTTTTTCCATATTTTACATTCAACTCATCAAAAATCAGTGAAAATAAACTTTATACAAAACAGCAAAAATGTCTTTACAGCAAAAATTAATTTTAGCTAAAATAAAGTATTATACAGTATACATTTGTAGAATACATGATGTGATCACCTCTAATATTTATATCATGAATAATATAGGATGTGACTTACTTTGATGGGAGTTTCTAAAATAGTGGCCAACTGCTTAGCTAATTCTTTATGATACTTAGTCCCAGATCCATGTGTTTCCCGCGTCACAGGATTAGTTATACCAAGACTTAACAGGTAAGCTTTGAATTTAACAGTCTGAAAAACAACAATAAAACACAAATTAAAAAAAAGGTAGTTTTAAATTTGCCCTTCACTTGACACAGGACTGACCTTGAAAATTTGCTGCAGCAATCTACCATGTATGATGATCATTTAAAGTTTGATTAAAATCAGCCTGTGCATTTCAGAGAAGTAGTTGTACAATCACTTTATACTCACTCATACAGATGTGGGTAAATTCCCAAACATCGCCCAAAACAGGATAGAATCAAAAGTTTATTTACATAACCACCTTTTTACTCACACATACAGACTATAGGATTGTTTTGAACTCATGTGGTGCCAGTAATGAGAAAAAACATATCCCTAGATAATGTACAACACAAATCATCTAGTTGAACAGTTCTACTCATTTACTCACTTTTACTAAGTACTAAACTCAACCATCACAAGAAGTAAACAACAAATTTATAATACCTCATCCTCTGTAATGTCTCCCTTCTTCTCTTTAATTTTTGTTGCTATATTTTTGGACAAATCAACCATTTGTTTTGCCTAAAAAGACAAAAAAAGTCCAATGTAGATCCACTGACAGATCATTACATGCAGTTATTTTTTTTTTGCACATCACCAAAAAGTGGAGAATATTTTGCAAGATAGCATTTAAAGCGGGAGTGTCGTCACCTGCGCACACGCAGGAATTGAGTCGCAAGTGACGATAACAACACACGCAAAAAAACAATGACATGCTGTGGTCATCTGACGCATGCGCAGGTGACGACTCCCCCGCTTTAAGCTATTACATTACTCACCTGATGCATTAATTTATTCAAATCTTGAAAAGCCTGGATAAAGAACAGAAGTAAAAACAGACTGGTGATATATGCAAATTAGAATAATGTTAATATATATCACTAGGGACAACAAAATTCATTTTGAGGCAATAAGTTGCCATATTTGGTTTTCCCATGACATACATGTAAGTAGTTGTCAATTGCAATTCCTGCTGATAAACGTTATGAAAATTTACCATTGAGATGTTCTGGTCAGTTTCTTTCCTTTTCTCCTCCAGCTTTCTTTCAATTCCTACAATCCCTGCATGAACTTTTTTCATCTGAAATCAAAACAAAGTACATGCTTAGTTTGACACTGAAAAAGAATATCACTACCTTACTTCAAGTACAACTGGAAGTTACACTCCAACTTTGTATTACTTGCAGAAAATCTGCCACTTGATTTCTTTCTTACATGTAGATCCTTAGATGTTTACTGGGGTCAGTGGGAGGTCTCAAAGTGGCAAGGCAACTTTAAATTATGATGTAATTATGTGATTTCTTCTCTTACATGAGAGTAATAAGTGTAGACAAAACAAGTTCTTCTCAATGACATAGTCCCTGTTGGGTGAACTGAAATTTGAGGTAAAAACACAAGGATGTCGAGGGAATTTCATGAAACAAAAAAATAAATTGGCATAAATTTGAAATTTAAAATGGCTGCCAAATAGTTAAATTTCATCAAAACCCCCAAATAACTGAAGAGAATATGCAAACCATTATGTCTTTCCCTTATGTCATATTTAATTCCAATCAGAAAAAATGTATCTGAAAAATACTACTTATTTATATTCTTACTTTCAATGGTTGACTTGATTGATGCTCCCATAGTCGTCTTGACAACTGTTCTGATAAACATCTGTAAAACTAAATAACAGGACTCAACATACAATGAATAACAAGGCGAGGCACAACTATACTTGTGTCCTAACCTAGAGTACGCACAACTGCTACATTGAAACAAAGTGAGACTTCCGCTTCCATACGCACAACTACCATGATTGATTTACATACATCACATTGACATATATTCACTACAAGAATTGTTTTATGATTTGATGATTGATTTGGAAAATTCAATAATTTTTTCAAAACTAAAGCAGTCTACAGTAATAATAATTACCGTAAAATCTGTATTAGAAGCCGCATCTCTAATAGAAGTCGCACCCATTCTTTTTGAACAATTGAGAACCAAAAATTCATCATTTCTCATATGTGTAGATGCTCTAATAGAAGCCGCATCCCCTCTGTTGCATTGTACCATTTCAATAGAAGTCGCGGCTTCTAATACAGATTTTACAGTAATTTGTATTCCGCCACCAATATTAAAGATATACCATAGACTCTAATCCACAATTATGTTTTGTACGGAATATGGAAATGTACTGATTACTTACCTCTGTCTGCCCTCCTTCTTTAAATGAAATTCTAATATACGGATACTGACTATGTACAACTGGGCCTGCAGGTTTACTGGCTTCAGCAGGATGCAAGAATAAAACAATTTTGGGACTGTACAATGGAAAAAACATAGTTATATTATTAGATACATAAATTAGATGCGCACATAAGCCAAAAATTCTATTAATTATTCTGCATGCGACCATAGATAAACCTCTGGTATCGGTATTTACTTAAGTGCATGCGCTACTAGTACTACAGCCAATAAAGTATTGCAATAGGCTGTAATTACATTTAAAGAATAAACCTTCGTCTTGCATGGTATTTATTCCAAGAGATTACGCAAGCAAATTATCATATACCAGCACACTGAACTTGCGTGAATCAACAAATATTTGAACTTGCCTTTTAGTGAAGCTTGATTTTTGTTCTTCAGTGAAAACAATACTTCTCAAATTCAGACAAAGTGAGCAATTCTGTGGAGGATAGACTTCAAGGCTTAAATGCATTTGTACAAAGTGTTCATGCCAGCAGCAAGGCAGTCAAGATGAATAAATTAATTGTAATTCATTTCACTTTCTCGGTTTTCATCAGTTATATTCATACAATACACTCATATTAAGCATGTAACTACAATGCACACTTTCACAACACACTGCCTTAGAAGAAGAATTGCCAGAATCACTGACCTTAAAAAGTACAAAACATGTTGGTGCAAAATTAATAAGCTATAGGGTGTTATTATGAACAATCAACCAAACACTGAAACCAAAACAAACCCTACATCGAAGTCTCATACATTGTTCTCACAACTGTGCTGCAAACTTAAGAGGGTGGGGGGTTCGTTGTGCGTGTAAAATTGAATCGTGTAACTTACACAAATTGTATTTATAACATGGGACCCATTGTTTCAACCACAGCCCTAACTCACACAGCGCAATCACATCTACAACTTGATTATATATACATAACACATGCACTAACTGAAGTATACATTTGTTACCAATATCTACTTACTGGTCTTACTGCATCTTGCCAAAGAATTCTGTAAGAGGTTAGTTGTATGTTACCTCGTTCAAATTGAGTCTGTATAACAACAGCAAAAATAATTAGACGCATAATAACAACGACAGATTTTTACAACAACATCCAGATTGGGCAATTTAATGGTCAGATAGGGAAATAGTTTAAAACATGCATTCAACTCTCTTTAATATCAAATTAACACCACAACAGCATAGTTACCAGTAGTATATTCTTCTTTATAGCACAATTCACATTATTTAATATTACTGAGAAGTTGATAATCCTTAGCTAAGTTCTGAACAAAAGTGCTACCCTGTGATACTTTTAGAATAATAATAACTTTATTGTATTTTTAAAAATACACAATTTTCTATCAGTACAGTTGTATATGGCAATAAAAAAAAAAACAATGAAATAAAAAATAAAATTATTTGTGGATAAGATTACATATCATGTTTTTTTTATTTCTAACTTAGAAGACATTGTGTATAAATTCTCCTACAGATTTGATAATATTTTTATCTGTGCTTTGCAATAAATGAATGAACTTTTTCAAAGTGATATTTATTTGGAACATTTCATGAAAAAGTGTAGTTCATCTTCTATTTCTTGGAGTATTGAACACAAATTCTATTTTCTAATGGTTTTTTTGAATGAGTTTCCTTGTTACAATAGCTAGGTTATGGTTGCTTGGCTACTGAAATTCTTCATTTTTGATTCAGAATAGTTAAATATTCTTCAAAATAGTATTTTGTTTCCAATGTAACATATGTCCTCAGTTTAGTTTTTTCTTTCACTATTTTTTGGCTGCATGATTAATATATTTTTGTTTGATAGTGTTATTAATTATTTTCTTAATGTGCTGTTGTGTAACTTAATTTTGTGATTTTGTTGATATACCTGAGTCAGTTAATATATCATTCATACAAGATTCCCATTGTAATTTGGACAGAGACTGTTCCAGAAATGCTTGTTTTGTATTCTTATTTAGTGCTAGATCTTTAACACGAATCCAGTATTTCATCATGGTGCAAATAAGTTAACATCATTACAACCTACCAACCCCCCCCCCCCCAGGGTTGTAAATGGGTCATCCCAAACTAGCAAACTAGTAAATATTTTCTAAAACGGTATACGCGGACTGTTGGACATTTAATTCATCGACGTACCTTTTCTTCGCCATCATAAATCTTCACGTCTGATTGCTGGGTTATTATGGACTCTGTTGGCATCAACCTTCCGTCGGACCACTCAAATCTGTCCATTTCCAACACAAAACAGTACACAACGAAGGGATCTGGATTATATACCCACTTTATAGATCTCACTTCCGTATATACGCATGTCACCTCTAGAGGGCGTCCCTAATACACATTCTCAAGTAGGAGCCCCCAAGTCACAACTAAAATGCCCCTTGTAAAAGTACAAACTTGGAAAGCAAGTATATTTATTTAACCTCAGATTTTATACATATAACTACATATACAACATTAAATTTTCTACTTTTACAAACATAGCGGGTTTTTTTTCTAATGATAATTAGTTATCGAACTACAGGTACATTAAAACAAAGAGCAAAGAAAAACTGCAGATATACCGGTAATAATAGTTAAAAATCAGTCTAAATTACTCAATGTGTACCAGTACATATTCCTAAAACTTTGGACTGGGTCACCCCTTGATATACTGGTATTTACGCAGCTACTAATAAATAAAAAAAAAAGATTAAAAAAAAAAAGTCTGTGTGATGTCCCCGCAATACACATTTACTTTACGACATTTCTAATGTAATAATACATCAGTACTTTAAAGCTAGATTTATAGGTCTCCTTTGCTTATTTTGAGTAACTTAGGGCGCCTGCCTTCAGAGATTAACCTTTATGCGCCGTGGCCGTGCGCACAAATGTACTGAGAGGGCGGAGCACAAAGCATAATGATTGAAGTTTGATCGATGAATGAAATTTTGCTTCTGTCTTCCTTTCAAACAATTTGGTAAGTAGAATTTCGTTTTATTTAAATAGTACGATAAGTTGTATTGCATGTATGAAGTAAATTGTCTTTGTGAGGCGTTTATCTGGAATTGTCTGCTTCGTTGATGACTTGATGTTGTTTTTGAGTCACGGGCCCCGACAGACCTCACACCACGCAACACAATAAACATGGGTGATGAGGATCATCTGACGGTATTATCACAGTGTATGAGATGGGCGAACTTGGCATAAAATCTGCCAGCAAGAAAATGCGTTGGTGAGATAAATTAGATTGGAAGTACAGTACGTAGTAGTCTCGCCATAGAAATGTTGTTTTCTTCAAAATTTTCTCTGATAAAATATACCTTTTATTTAACAGTAAAACTGGCTTAATTTTGTAAAAAAAAAAATGGAGGACAATAGCGACGGTGAATGTTTCCGGTCCGTAAGCCATGCTGAGAAAACGTTTAAAAAGATGGAAGACTATTTACACAACAAGCAATTGACTGATGTGATACTAGTTGCAGGTGATATGAAAATCCCTGCACACCGTCTTGTTCTTAGCGCAGTCTCTGATTACTTTGCTGCTATGTTTACTAACGATGTCAGGGAAGCAAGGGAAGAAGAAATTGAACTTCATGGAGTTGACCCCGAAGCTTTGAGATCTCTCATCAAATATTCTTATACCGGTAAGTACAGATGTATCAACAATACATTACTATGTGTTCTCATTGGAAAAGTTACATTACTGTGATTGAAAGAAAACAATTTAGGCACCTATTTTCTTGATTATGCCTTCTGATCTAAATCTCAGGGAAAACATGATGTGTTACATTGACTGTAGTGGTTTAAATATAGTGGTTTTTGAGTAGTCAGTATTGTCTGCAATGAATATTACTCCACTTCCCTAATTTTATTACCTGGTTTCCCCATCTACATACATCTAGATTTGTAAATATTAGTAATCACATTTAACATCCTACATTTTGACTATGCATTAATCTTGATTCAAAAAAATCTTCACACACAAATGGGAAAAAATCATTGGCTAGATTTTATAAGCTAAGAAATCCCTGCTTATGTAATTTAATCAAACATGTTTTCTGAGTCAGCAGTTTGGCTGTTATGTCGG